TATTGAGGAGCAGGTCTCCCATGAGATCTCAAGGTGAGACTATAAGATGTTCAGTCAGCCTTGTAGTCCTTCAAAAGTCTTATTTGGTCAGAGTACAACTGTTATAAGCCATATAATTCTACAAGCATTTTTAAAAATGTTGGTTTATGGATAACCATTTCTTGGCAAATTACATTAGAAAAAGTAGTTTCGTTTGATCAAAGTGGACTCGTTTTTTTGAGAGAGAGAGATGGAGTATTACTTCTCAGTATGCAATATAAAAAGTGCTACAAATTCTGCTGAAAAGTATTAACGAGATGATGGAAGGTGTACTAACGAGTTTGTCTGGAACTACAAAGCATTGCCTCTGTATAGATGACAAGTACGCCTCATGCGCTTCAATGACTTCATCCAATGATGATGCTGCCGCCATGCCTTCACATAGTTCCCTCCACGCATTGTGATATACCTATTCAGGTTCACATGACCAAAGACCCTGAGAATCTGGAATAATCTCCAAAGATTTATAAGCTGACTGAGGTAAGATGCTAAGTGATTACTCTGTCCATCACATATTGGTGAAAGGCATCAACAAAATGGAGAAGTTTTTGTTCCAATAACCAGTGACGCTTGCGATTGGCTGTTGCAGTTTTTCTATCCTACAAGAAGGGGAAAATGTTAGAGTAATGGGAGGTTAGTAAATTGCATGTTCAAATGCAATTTCAAGTGGCAGTTCAAAAAAAAAGACCTTCAACATCCATCGTCGCACTTTGTCAAGCACAAATTTTGCCCGTCTTATCTTCATTAAGAACCTTATCACCTACATGATAGAAAGAATATCAATCTTGGTCCCAAGACACAGTGAACTTTGAGTCCTCAATTTTGGTCCTTGGCTTGAAAGTTTATCAATATTGGTGCACAAGTTTGGTATCCATATTGTTTTGGTCCTTCTGGAAGCCTTTTAGACAAAAGTGCACCAGAATCTAGGTGGGATTATGAGTAATCCTGGCAAATTGTTAATGGAAACACAATTGGAACTTGGAAGGACTACAATTGAGAGAAGGTGAAACTTGTGCCCCTGATTTCTTAAGTCAATGACCTAAATTTTAAGGATATGCAAGCAGTGGGACAAAATTGTGATTTTTTAAATAATTAAAGAGAAAGCAAACTGATTAGCCAAGGTATGAGAAAGTTAGACCTACCCGGTTGTATTTTTTTATTGCCTCTATATCAGCAATAAGTTCAAGTGGCCAAGAGACCTGTTGAATACACACATGTGCACATGCACATAAAAATAATATATACTGTCAGGGAACAAAAAATGTACTCTGGGTATTTGAAGAAACAATGACATCAATGCTGAAACCATTAACACTTGCCTTATATTTGAATGTTAGTGAATCAAGGCTATCAATGCCAATGTTCTGACCTCGACTTATATGGGGGGTTAAAGTGGGAAGCCCTAAATTAGTTTTTCTGTCCTCAGTCTTAGCAGTATTTCTTGAGATGGACACAACCAGAGAATCTGGTGTATTTAGCAGTATGACATCAGCAGAGTTGCGGATTGACTCCTGAAAGAAGTTACAATGGATGACCTCAACTTTGATGTAATCCCCAAAAACAAGCATTCAAAAACCCAAAAACTAGCTAGGAATTGAAAAGCATAGGCCACAACGAAAGAATGTATAAGAAAAGAGTACATGAAAAAATTACGCAAACACAAACAAAGACCGTGGAATCACTAGCGTATGTTTAGCCAACAATCACACCTGTAATATCATGTTCAAATCAAATTCATCATCCAAAGGTTCTCCTTTGTCTAACTTATCGAAAATCGTTGTCAAGAAGTGCTGCAACAGATCACCTGGAGAAACCAAACCAAGTCCCAAATCCTATTAAAGACAGCCATACTAACCAAACAGTACTTGCCTAATAAATAGAAGTAAAATCACAGAGATCTTCCGGAGAAAGCCGGTATAATCCTGTTACCTAAAATTAATAGTCTCAAATTCCATAGGTTTACCTGAACCTAACAAGTATATAGCACGTAAGACGGCCAGTTCATCTAAAAGTCTCCAATCACAAAGTAACTTTGATAATACATTCCTGCCAATACAATTAGCCTGCAGCACATAAAACAAGATAATCCATGCATGGAGTATATCTCAAGAAAGCATATGAGAGAGTACCAACTACCAAATATGCAGAGTCATGAGAGAGAATTTATTTAGTTTGATTATATATTTTTAATATTTATTTAGTACAGTCGGTCAGGGTCATACGTTTAATGGGTCAATTGTTTTATTTTAAATATTTTCTGTCACTAAATACCAAGTATTAGTGGGCCTAAAACGAGAGTCAAAAGAACCATGACAATATATATATATATATATATATATATATATGT